GCTTCAAGCTGGGACAGATGATTCCCATGCTTATACTTCCTTCTTTTCCTCTTCTGCTCTTTTTTAAAGATGTCTTAGTATCCCATTCCTAATCAGCACAGGATGAGTCAAGGGGGCAAGCCCTTGTTGCTTCATCCTTCCCCCAAAATAACCCATCAGCTGTGCATGACTCCTCTGCACCCCAGCCTGTGATGCTCCGTTACACCACATCATTCCTTAGCAGATTCCCCAGAAGACACTTGCTAGTTGTGTGGAGGGATCAGACAGCTGCCGGGGGAAGTGCCTGTTCTACAGGGTGGTGAGGGAGTAAAGCATGTCCTCAGCCACACCTCACAAGGGGTCTCGCTCTTCTCATGGCTGACATCTTTATCTTTGACAAGATTTGCACAGCAACTGGTGACACTGCTGGGCTGTGTTCATTGTGAAAATACCCCGACATGAATCTTTACTGGTAATTCTTTTCAGGAAACTGCAGCAGCCACAGCTTTTAAGTTTCTGCACCAATGTAGAAGCAATGTTACCCATTTTCACTGTAAGACAAAAGAAAACCCACTTGATTTAGGTCAGGCTTACTTAGGCTCATTGTGTTTTTACTAGTTGGCTTCCTTCCAGCACTGGTGTATTTATCTCCGTATCACTTTTCAGCACCAGAAGCACGCTATTCTCTTCACTTTACAGATGGGTTCCTGAAGCAGAGTTCATCTTCTCCCAGGCAACAAAGAGCGGGGTGAGGAAGCTACACGGGAATCAGAGTGTAGGAACTTTACTAGACTGGAAATGAAGCTCTGCTGCTTACATCAAGGAAGTCCTTGATATGGAATCCTGATGGAGTAGTGGCGGTCCTCAAACATGGGCCAGGCCAGGGCAACAAAGCACTCCTAGCTGCAAAATTTGAAGAAACCGCATTGGAAGCTCAGCTCTAACTCTTGAGTTAAGAAATGCCCAAGTATCCCTGGGCACGAGCACACGCAGCTGATTAGCCTTTCCTAGCTAGGTGCACTGAAGCATCTGCAACAAGTCAGGTGATGTGCCACCATCTCTGGTCATGGAAAGGATATCTGAGAGCTTGGTAAAGACAATCACAAGCACCACGGGAAATTTATACAAAGCAATGGCAAGGGCACAGCTAAGTCAGCGAGCTGTTACTTGTTCTGTGGCACTGTGGCATGCTCTGTGTTGGTGGCAGCATCCTCGTAAAAAGACTGGCAAGATTCCACAAGTTTTCTCATGAAGGAGAATCAAGGTATGTTTTGATTTTGAGGAGATTTTGAGGCTGACAGCTACACAGAACATGCCACATGGAAGACAGGACTGTGATGGAAGCCACCCGTGTGACTGGCAGCACCCAGAATGGATTCAGAGGTTAAACCCATTCCAACAGCTCAGCTGTTTGTGGTTCTTACTGAAAGACCAGCACAGCCTGCGTGTAGACACGAGACACTCATTTGGGCTCTACGTGGTTCTTAGTCAATAGTTTACAGGACAGATTAGTGAAGTTGAGGAGAACTGGATTCCAAGCTGTAACCTACAAGGAACTACACACCATGTTTGTATCTTTGGAAGAGATGGTTAAACTTATCTGCCATGTTAAATGACATACTGTCACCTTTGAAAAGCCTCATTATCGGGTCTAGAAATGTCTGCCATTAGTGTGACACTTGTACGTAAAGAGATAAAACTGTCACAATTAGCTGTGATTTTCATCCACACACTTTATTTCTGCATCTAACCAGAGTTAGTTCAAATTACTGTTTGACAGCAGTCTGGCAGCAACAGCAGAAGCTTAATAACACAGAGGTTCACATATTTATTTATTTGCTTGCTTGCTCTGGTGTCTGCATCACATTTCTTAAAATAACCTGGGCAGCATCTTCCACTACTGGAAATGTATTAAGACTAAACTATGCATCTCATCTTTACCAGTGGAGATGGAATATCATAGGAAACAGGGAAGCTGTGAACTGTAATACTAGTCAGTTATTTATATGGAGAACCCACTAAACAAAGTATTTAAACAATGAAATATTTTGGTTATTGTTAAAACTACCCTGAATATGAGGAAGCTCATAACCCAAGTTCTCTAGAGTCTGTGGTTATGCTGCATAATTACATAATAATCAACCACACAGTCAATGCCTATCCAGTAATCATTTTAATTTTATTCTGTCATAGAGGAATACAGTGGTGCTATACTGATTTCTTAAAAAGAAAATTCACTACTCAATCTCTCTTAAATCATGAGACTTAAAAAAAATAAAAAGAGTTTACAGAAAATAAGAAATGTTTACTTACCAGCATTTAAGTTTTTTAATTCATATTATTCAGCAACAATACCGGCAAATACTTAAAATGCCAGTTACCTCAAAATCATGACTCATCTGAAATCAGTGGAGTTACATGAGTAACTGTGTAAGGGAAGCATACTCTCAAGTCCCAAGAGTTGGGATATCAAATTTCTTGGTCCATCAATTAAAGGTACTTACACACTACAACCAGTACATCTGGAATCCCAATCACATTCTGTGCTGCAGGAAAAAGTTTGGCCAGATTCAAATCTTCAACTCTGTGATGTTTAGCTCTATTCAGTCACTGACCACAACTCTCAGCAACTCAATTTCCCATTTTTTACTTCAGATTCATCCACTGTTTAGAATACTATGCACAGAGACTTTAGAGGAGACAGAATTTACCTTCAAACAACAACACTACAAAAGATCACCTTATCATTAAATCAGGGAAAAAAACAGACCACTAAACTCCCATCTCTACTTTAAATAAACCTAGCTCTGTGATTCAGTCTTCTATGCCTAAAATGAGAATAATAGTATACACTGTGCTTTGAAGGATTAATTACTTCTAAATGTGCTGAAATATTCATATAGAAGATATTGTGTAAAGACATGTAACTGTTCATTGCTGCAAATGTAAACAAACCCCATTTCACAGCACAGCATAATACTAGTAAGAAAAGTCCACACAAGATAAAACCAGGAATTTCAAAACACTCATCCCTCCAAAACCACCAAACCAAACCAAACCAAAAATTCCAACACAGTTTGGGAAAGCTAGCAGTGTAAAAGTTTTATTCAGGTCCAATGTAATAACACAATATTTTTGAAACCAAAAACTATCTTTTTGCTGTCGACAAGAAACTTGAGTCATCAAACTTAATTATCAGGGTGCCCTTATTTTCAGAAAGGCAGGAGGAAAATGAAATGCCACATAATTTAAAGAGCAAGAGTACAGAACTATAACCATTTTGCACTGCACACATTAGAGCTGGACACACAATTAGAATGGTCAAACACATGGTTTAGGGCTTAATTATCATACTACTGAGTTTCAAATCCTGAGCTTGTTCCTGGCACTCTGAAACAGGAACTAAGAAGGACACAGTCTGCTCTTTTCCTCAGCCCATTACTGTACCAAACTGTACCAATAAATGTATCTTCTTAGGCTTAAAAAAAAAAAAAGTCATTTTTTAAGTCCTCATTGAGGACTACCCATGAAGTCTCCTGCTGTGAATAAATGCCATTCTGCCCTATTCCTGCAATGTTTCCAGTTATTTGGAGGTGCTACAGGGACCAGATTTGAGTGTACTGAGTAGCATTTGAGTCAGAGGCAGCAGTAGTAAATGTCTGCTGCGTGAATCCAAGAACTGGATATTCTTCACTACTGCAGATGTCCCTTGTCTTTTATGCCAATAGGACCATTATGGTGATTTTTTTCCCTTTCCTTCTCCACAATGACAAATGCAAGCACAATCAAAATTTGGAAACTTTCCATATGAAAAATAGGAATAGAAGAGTGCTAACCTAATTGGCTGTGCTACGCTTTCAGCTGTGACTGTGGGGAAAAAACTGGCCAGGGAGACCACCCTGGTCATGAAAGAATGATACCAGGTGCATCATGTTAACACTAGAAGTATCTGTAATAAATCTCATACTATGCAAGAGAAAAAAATGGGGCTTCCATACTGAATATGCTGTACAATACTGCAGGTTGTCTTTCTCTGCATTTTAGAATGACATCATTGATCTTTTTGTATGAGTGTAATTACAGCCCCACTTTAATGCTGCCAGCAACAAGGAACTATTAGTACTGCTCTTAAAGAGGCAAAAAGCTTTATTAGATATTGCAAAGAGCTAGGGATGCTCTTAAAAATAATAAAGGGCAGTCAATCAATCACATTTGCTCCGTGAAAAGCTTTTAAGATGCAACCCAGAGGTCTGAAGCTTCATTACCAAAACATTTTTCCTACTGCCACTTAAAAAAATTCTGCTGAAGTTTAATGACTAAAATGTAGGTAATGAAACTACAACAATAATTGCGTACTTAAGAATGAAAATACAACGCAGTTGCACTTTCATTGAAGAGATAACTTTAAAGATTGGCACTATTTTGGACTCTAATACATGGATCAGTGCCACTGAAGAATACATAGAGATTTTTATGGAACCCAGACTGTGGATACAAAGGTTCATCTGAGAGTTCAAATTTCAAACAGCAACATACCAATATCAGGAAACATAATGTGTACATAGTGTTTAAAATAAACAACCCTCCACAACATAGGCTCTGAAGAATCCTTAATAAAAACTGCTCAATTTTTCTTTCATTTCTCCCCATTACTAGTGCCTAAAGTATCTGGAAATGGAGCTGTGCTTCTAAACCATGCAAACAGAAAGTGGTGCTCAACACAGGAGCTGTGGCAAGCCAGCTTTAAAAGAAGTTAAATTTTGAGTTGTATTGTATTCTCTGCTAGAGTAAGAAAGCTCATGGAGAACAAGTCTTATGAGGAGCGGCTGAGGAAACTGGGAATGTTTAGCTGGGAGAAGAGAGGGCTGAGGGGAGACCTTATTGCTCTCTACAACTACCTGAAAGGAGGTTGTAGTGAGGTGGGTGTTGGTCTCTTCTCCCAAGTTAGAAACAATTTAGAAACCCTCTGTTAAATTAAATTTTTTAAAAAGCAATTGGAAGTCCTTGACATTAATATTAAATCAATGCTTTAGTTTCGGAAGCTGCTTCACTCCTATAGTCTTTTTAATTAATCCTTTCTGGGGATTAACCATCTTCGGGTTTCCTGGAACACTGTATCTCCCTCTGAAAGAAAATGGGTGAAGTTAGTAATGAAGTGTCACATTCCCCATAAGCTTTAACTGCTAGAAATGTGCATGCTTTTTATATTTGCATAACTGATTACCATTGTGAATTAACAAACTGGAGAGAGGAAAAAACAAGTATATTTGTGGGTTTGTAGGCTATCAGAGCATCTAATTATACTGCATACACACTCAGTCCTCAACTCAGGATTCCTGACTACTTCCTGTTATCTAAATGATGGCATTTGAAGAACATGAACAGAATACTAAACATTTGTGCAAAGAGAAAGATAACTGGCTCAGGAGACATTTTCGTCAGTTACACAGTCCCCATTAGGAAATGGAAAAACATTCTACATTCCTGTAGATGCAGTCTTAGTTCTTTGCAGGTATTCCACTCTGAAGACTCATGGTCTTGAGCCCATGATCATACATAGGAAATGCCAGCAGACTTCTGAAGTGGTACTTGTCACACATACCTACACCACCTACAGGAACCCTACTAGAGCTGTTTTCATCTTGATCTTCTAAGAGAAATCAGTGGGAATGTAAACAAGTCTCCACTGGGGGAAATGGTGATTCCACAAACTCGAAGTGTCATTCTCATGACCCAGCAGCATGCATCTCTACTCTTATGCAATGCACATTTGTTTCTCTCCCTGTTCGTTACTACAGTGGACAGACAGCACTTTAATGACAATATACAGGTTTTCAATGTCTTTCTCAAGTACTATGCATTCTGAAGGAACATGCATCACAACATCACATGATTATATTCATAATGGTAGCCAGAGAAATATTTTGTTATGCAGTAGAAGCTGTGATGACATGATCTGTGCAAGTTTCAAATTTCTGGGCAAACACCCAACAAAGTTGTCCCTAGGGCCTGATAGTCTTCTTGAGATTGACACAGCCTTTGTTGCAGCTCTTACAAGCACACACGGTCTTGATGGAACAGCTGCCCCCATAGAGATATGGATCTGCTTCGACTCAGAGCTTGGAAGATCAGAATCCAAAGCCTTAGTTTGCTCAATAATAAATTGATTATTCAAATTAAAATAAATTGTTACTCAAAATCAATGTATTAATCTGTAGATCACTGTAGAGCTGGACGAAGGAGACAGCATACATCTGTGTGGAATTCTGCAGGGCACAAAACCTCTTTCCACTCAAAACCAGCTGGACTTAATGGACGTAGAAGCCAGGTAGTTACAGCCAGCGCAGTGTTGAAACTGAGCTAATAATACCTGCTACATGCCTCAGTATAACAATAAGGGCTTAAAATGACCTCAAACTGGCTGCTCAGATTGCATCAGAGACATCAGTCTCAAGACATCCATTGTTGTCAGCTAGCCTATATTCTTCCTGCCCTGTGAAATACCATAAAAAGGACCTCTTGCTTTAATACATAGGTTGGGTTTTCCATACCTTTACCTATAGTTAAGAAAACATTAAACATAGTTTCTTAGTATGGTTTGAAATCCAATGAAGGCGGACATTTTCCGAAAGGCCAACAGATGTGAGATAAGAACTCTGGACAGAAAAATTTCCAATTATTCTCAAGAACACATTTATTTTCAGTCATGCAGGTCTTCTCTTATTTGAATGAAATTATTTCTCACTCATGTCAGCTTGAATGAACAACCTTCAGAATGTAAATCAAAACATAATGTCCCTGCTGATGGCAGGGGGGTTGGAACTAGATGATCTTTAAGGTCCCTTCCAATCCAAACCATTCTATGATTCTATGATAATTTAAAGGAGAAATATAAAGATGGCTGTGTTAACCTTGTGATGATCAAGGGATGCTTACTTACATTCTAGTACTCCCTTAAAATACAAACTATGCCAAATCCCCATTCTTACCTCCTTGTTGCCAACTAAGACCAAAGTTTGACCTGAAAGTTCTAAGTCACTGGTTATAAAAACCAATGCTTTGCAAACTGGGTACTTTGCCACAAAGGACAATTTAAAAGATGAACAATTCCCTTCATGTGTGTAAAGTACTTTGAAAAGTTAAAAAAAAAAAATCCTCTGAAGGAAAATGGGTTGAAAGGGGATACTTTGTTACAATTTTCATCTCCTGAGACCAGAAATTACAGGACACAATTTTCTTTTACACTTTATTTTCTTTCATTTGATATAAAGAAAATTACAAAAATATGCTGTCATATAATTTCAGGGTAAATAATGGTCTACTAAAATAAATTATAAAAAAACCCCAACACAATTACAGATCAGTGCTAACCCTCAGCAAATCTCAATATCTGGCTGATGATATTTAATCTGCCAGCAAAGACAGTGAATTCTCCCAGTTCTAGCTTCCTGACCTTCTCCACATGAGCTATGTTAAACATCACTGGGGCCAGAAGCAACACACTAGCTATATGGGGTACCTCAGACCCATACAGTGCTTTTTCTGTATTGAGAAACTTCAGTTATAGACTTTAATTTATATTGTACTATATTAATTCATATTCTACTAATATGCTTTCCTGGAGCATGAAGATCCACTGTTTCGATTTATGAAATCCTGTGATTCTGTACTTGCACAGAATGAAAGAATAAAGCTGGTAAGCAAATACATCTACATAATTTCATGCTTATAATTTACTCATTACGTTTTCCAATGTTCCAAATATGTATTGTGTATGTTCATTTTAGTAATATAGGTAAGTGGGTTCATGGAAGAGTATTTACTGTGAGATACTAAATACACAGAAATCATACTTGCTCAGGAAGTCTCCAAATATAAAGTATTTGGGAGAGTTTCAAAAGCAAATATTATATCTGCCTGTTAACACACTTTTGTAGGCATCTCTTATGGCCACTGGAGGCAGGATCCTGCGTCCAACACACTTTTAATGTGATTCCCCTATATTCTTCATACTGTATATTCTTAACATTTTCAGTTCAATTTAAAAATAAATCTCCTCCAATTTCAAGCTTTCTCACAAGCACTACAATCAGAAACTCATTTTATTTCTATACAGCTCACAGCAGGTAGGTTCTTTTCAAATTTAAATTTCTAACCCATATAACTAAACAGAAATCTGTTAAACAATGAAGCCTTTATATGTTGTCATCTAAAATCACTCACATTATCATCCACAAAAAGCTTTACAATCTCTGTTAGCTAAAAAAGGCCAAGCAAGGCATTATTTAATTGAATTACTCTTAATGGACTAAAGGGCATACTTGTTGCTCTCAATTATGCAGTAATATTTGAAACATAGGTTGAAAAGGAAGAACATCAGAAGTATTGTAAGATTTCAAAAAGGCCACTTAAATATATGTATTTTCAATACTGCAACATACTTAGTATTGAATAAAACTGACTGAAAAGCAGTATCAAAAATTATGTTAAGATTAACACTTTCTTTACAGTGAGGGTGACAGAGCACTGGAACAGGCTGCCCAGAGAGGTGGTGGAGTCTCCTTCTCTGGAGACATTCAAAACCCGCCTGGACGCCTTCCTGTGTAATTTCGTTTATGTTCCTGCTCCGGCAGGGGGATTGGACTAGATGATCTTTTGAGGTCCCTTCCAATCCCCAACATTCTGTGATTCTGTGTGATTATGCTCAGTAATATTCACCATGAACAGAGTTGCAATAGTCAAAACATAGTACTTAGCAAAAAATAATAAACCAGAAAACAGAGGGAATATAAAGGAAACTTACCTCAGATTCTGGTTTTCTCCCTTGCCTGTCAGAGCATCTGGTCTTTGCCTTTTAACAATTTTAAGTGTAGTTGAGGCCTGTAATAGCCAAATTTTTACACAGGTTAAATTCTAACCACAATCATAGTTAAAGAAGTAAAATTTTTTCAAACTATTTTTGACCCAATATGGTCTTATGAAAGTACTCCAAGCACATATTATACTGATGTCTTGTTGATTTGGGGAATTCAGCACATGCCAAAATCCCTTGCTGTGTAAAAATATCATTATTTATTAAGCTGGACAATTAGAGAATATGTAATTTCAATCAGCATATTTTTGGTCATATTGCCTATAACTCCACTTTTTCAATGAAGAAGCATTATATTTCTAACATATTTCCCTGAATGGGAAACAAAACAAATTATAGTGACTTAGTTGTACTTCTGAATGATTAAACCATTAATTGAGAACGTGACTACTTTAAAAAATTTAACACATGGAAATCTTAAATATTCTGGAAGTCTACATTACTGGACATACTGAAAAAATCCACAGTTGTTACCCTTGATATTGCATTTAACAGAATCTGAGCATGATTAAATCAGTTGGTTCTCCTGTTCCTTAGCTCACTGGGTTCTCTCCTCATCCAGCACTTGCTGGCTCATCCAGCAAGTTTCCTTTACTGAAACTACATGGCAGAGGGACAGCTACACCATGGACAGAAAACACAGAAGGTTTAGGGCTTGTCTAGCTGCTGGGCACACTTGGGTGTCTAATGTAAGTGAATGGAATTTTCTCAGCCCTTGTCAACAGATCCATCAGGAACATGTGATAAATATATGATAATCATGATACAGGATGCATTGGCTACACCAGGGCAGTGAAGACTTTTTGAAAGCCTAGAGCTAGATTTTGGGGCTACCTAAACAAGGCTCAAGGTCTGGATTATTACATTACATTACATATTACATTACAACATTACATTTTGTAGCATGTGTGAAAACAACTTGCACTTTCAAGAAAAAAATTGGGCACTGAAAAGAAGCATGTCTCACTGCTCATAAGACAAGGGTTTGTACTGAGCTTCCACGTTTACAATGCACCATAAACCATCGGTACCTCTAGCATGAGTTCTCAAGTTTGTGAAATCTTTAATTTATTTTAAAACAGAGTATATCTTTATGGATCCAGACAAGACAAACAACAACAACAAAAAAATTTCATTTCATAAATCCTCGGGAAATTAATTTCATCTCAATCTAAAACAGGTGTGATGGTTTGCACCTTAGACATGCCTCTGTCTCCACAGATTACAGAGGATCCCTCTACAACTACTTTAAACTGGCTGTTTAAAATTCAGAGAACTAAACACAGGGATATTAATCTGAAGATTATTATTTTGCTCTCATACGATTCTGAAATCACGGGGGCAAATAATTGATTACTGAAAATATAATGCACTAACTACCTTGAGTATTAGTGGCAAAATCGCAGTGCCCAATGCCCCATTTAAGCAACATGCCAGTGTATATACCCCACTTCAAATAAAGTTTTATGCATGTTTAAGTGTTTTTCTGGGCAGCTGACCATGGGCACTCCTCTGCTAGCATGTTCAGTAATAAAATCATACTTTATTTCCTACCTTCTTCCTCCAGCAGTTCCCTCTTTCACTGTTAGTGCAAAAGATATTAACAGTTATCATGGACATTTCCTGGGCTTTTTCTTGGTTTCATGCTGGAAAGTTAGTTTAAGAAATTCTTTCAAATTTCCCTAAGCAGCAATGAACCATGTAAGAGAATCAGTTGCCCACTGTGCAAACACATGGAAATACTACTAATTACAGCCTTTTACCCCACTTAGCTAGCTATGACAGGGATTCAGTGACAGTTATTCCTGGGTATCACACTAAGCTATCTACTTCTACATTATTCAGGAATTAAGAGCTCTTTCAGAATAAGAAATACTAGAAATCTTCACAGGTTCCTCCAGTTTGTAGTATCAACTTTTATATATTACATAATTTGCAGCAATAAAGTTTAACCTCTGATTTCACAAAAACAAGCTATCTTATAAATTTAATTGAAATATGTGCTGCATTGTCATTCTGAGCTGGATGACTAGTTTGTCTTTAAAAGAAAAAAGAGGAAATATGAAAAAGAGGAATTGCTACTTAAGGTGGGTGTCACTACTGCTAATAATTTGGTTTTGTTCTTTTCAACTGAAACATTAAACTCATTATCAGTCTTGTGACTAATGGATGGGCAAGCAAGTACCAGAAAATTACTTCAGCTTTCTCAGTTAAGGGCATTTTGACTATCCTTGGGAACAATGAAACTTCAGCTGATACAAAAGCAAAAAAAAAAAAAAGTATTTAGAAATAAATAAACTGTAGCAATCTTTCAATTTCTAGCTCTTAAAAGTTTTTAAAAACAGCTTTTGTAATGAAGCGATAAAGACTTTGACGTAATGGCATTAACAGATGCTGTTGCTATATTAAGCAAGCAAAATGATTTTCAAAAGTTACTGAGGCACACAGGTTTTTTTCTTACCTGTAAGATCTCTGAAAGGCACATGCGCCGCTCATCATTAGCTTTGTGGTAAGCCTACATACAAAATAAGGGAGATAGGCCACCAGTAAGCAAAATATTTTAAAAGTTGAATTATACAGGAAGAAACAAATATGCAGCAGAGCTTTTCCCCATATTTTTTACATCTTTTGTGGAACTATTCTATTGTGTGTTCCACACACATTGTCTGTTTGTCAGACAACATAATGGCTTTTATAGATCAGAGGCATACAATTATTACAGACCTTTGTTTCTTGTTCCAGTCTAAGTTCATAGTCTTTTAGCTGATTCTGGAGACTTTTCTTCTGTTCTTCTAGTTGTTTAAGAACCTCCTTTAAGGAAACCTGTCATTATAGTAAATAAAATGATGTTTTACAAATATTTCCATTCTGTATAAAGATACCATCACCATAGTCCATTCTTCAAGCATTAAGATCATAGAATCATAGAATCATAGAAT